CTACTCTAACTCACAGAAATTCTTAGTTGTTTGTAATATTACTGTGTTGTCATATGCCACTTGATTGTATAATAAGCCATATATTATCCAGAAGGTACCAGTTATCCATACTTAGGTATACATTTGAACAAAAATCGCATGAGTAAGTTATACCTTAATGATTAAACTGAAATCAAAATTTTTTGAGTTAATGACACATTGTATTATTTTAGTTTTTTCAACTACCAACTATAGTAGAACTTACCAATAAATAATTGTAGCTACAAATTTACTCGCCAATTAGTATTCAATTCACGTGTGATTAACCAATTTACGTAGGTACTTTTATGTTTGATTAAATTATTAAATAAAATACATAAAATACAATATGTGGTAAATATGACAATAATATATTCAAGAACACTAAATGTATCATAATAATTTAAATACTTAAAAGTTAAAATTGTAAACTGATTGTAAACTGATTGTAACTTATTAAAAAATAAATACTTAATTAATGACCACGATTAAAGATATACGTATATCTTTAATCGTGTCAACGACTCACGAGTCACGAGTCACGATGCATTAAGCAATAAGCATTTTATTCGTATTATCTTATAACCTAACCGTTTAATATTTATCAGTTATCACGGATAATAATATCTATAATTATCTACTCGATCCACAACAACCTGGTATTTGGTATACTTCCATAATATCATGTACGATGTACCTGATCATGAAACTATGATATCAGCACAAAGTAGGTACGATAGTAATCTCAAATCAGTTAATCAGACATCACTGTTACATTACTGTTTTGTTTTGTGTTCGTACTACTATAGGTGAGGTTATAGGACGTGTCATGATGTAGATAATATATCTACATATAGTAATATTATCTACATCGTGCTAGGTGTGTAGTGGGGATTACACACGCGAGTATGCAACATTTGACAGTAATGGTCCAATTACTTATAATAATATGAGATTATGACAATAATTTATTGTAGCGAGTAGGTACAATGATTATCGCTATTATACCTTGGGTCAAACGATATCAAGTTTATTTCTTTTAACTTCTGGTCTTTAAAATTGATAAACTTTATTATGACCAGTGCAATCAGTGGGGTGAACTGCGCGATACCCCGCCAAATGGGCGTTTTACAATACATTTAGGGGCACAACTTAAGCTTACTGTAATTGAAATGATTTAAAAAGTGTAACATTTTTTACCCTGGGGCATAAAAATCACAATTGCTGCGGTACCTAGGTACTGACTAGGTATTACACATTTACACACAAACCTCACAAAACCACCCAACTTTGAGGAGCTATATCTCGTCAACGGATTAACGAAAAATGAAAATTTGAACGTGATAATTCATAAAAAAAATAGCCTTGTTAGTTTATAACAATTTTTGTATGGGTCACCATTTGAAAATCAAAAGTTGATAGTGGTTTACCTAATAAATATAAGGGTGAAAAAAATTAAAATGTAATACAATTGTAGAAAAGCATGAATCTAAAAATTTAAAAAAAAAAAAAATTTGAAAAAGTCAATACTTTTTGAAATAATGAGTGTTCTTCGATAAAAAAATCACCCTGTATATACAATTAATATATAAATAATATATATATATATATATCCGAAAAACCCACGAAAAGCATATGTATTCTACGATTGAAAAAAAAATATCAACCAAAACATATTGTTTACTGCGTGTCTGTGTAGAATGTAGAAAATATTTATTAAAATGTGGTTTGGCGAAAAACCATTGAAATATTTAAAAACATGTGAAGATATAAAATTATACATAATATTATCACAATAATACAAAAATAGGTTGAATTTTTATTAGAAAATGTTATATAGGTACCAACAATTATTAATTATTTTATTTAAAATTAGAAACTACCACTATGCCAATCAAACACACTAACACCATGGATCTAATGGTAAAACGTTACTTTTGTAAACATGACAAGAAAAGTTCAAAATAATTATAACTCATAATGTTAAACGGACATATACGATATACCATAAGCAAATATATGGCTGAATCCAATAATCACATAATGCTTTTTTTTAACTTTTTGCTACCCTGATTACAGACGAAATAGTGTAATCTAATAAAACGAACCATGGGACGCCATCTGCCGATTCTTTCATTGTTATTCTAGACCATTACATGATAAAAACAAAAGATATAATGATATTTAAAAACGCAAGATGGCTCACATGAAGAAACTCTCATTAGATGAAAATTCTGAGTTATTATACTATAATCTTAAATAGCAAGATAGCTCAATGTGGCGTGAAAAATAAAAATAATATAATAGCAAGATACATATAAAACATTTCAAAAACATTAAAACAATACTATTAACATTAAAAAGTCATGTAAATAATAAAAAAAAAACTCCTCTCGAACGAGAAGTGAATCATACAAAGATATAAGGTACCGCGTTTTAAACAAATCACGATGAAATGAGAGTAAGTATTAATTTATTAATAATTGTACTTACTCCTATTTTAATTCGTAATTAATCAATTTTTGGAAGCCACCAATTTATGGTGGCTCATAATGATAATAAAGAAAAGTAAAAAATTAAAAACGGCACACCCGCCCGTACCTATTCAGTACGAAAAAATAGTCCCCTGGGCTGTTCGGTCGCATCTTACTATGTCCCCGGAAGCTTTGAACAATTTTGAACTATAAACGTCTTATAGATTATTTTCCTGGTTTTCCGAATATATAGGTTTAATGCGTCGCCACCTTCCGGAACATGATCGGAAAAATTAAAAACGGCACACCCGCCAGTACCTATTCAGTACGAAAAAATAGTCCCCTGGGCTGTTCGGTCGCATATTACTATGTCCCCGGAAGCTTTGAACAATTTTGAACTATAAACGTCTTATAGATTATTTTCCTGGTTTTCCGAATATATAGGTTTAATGCGGCGCCACCTTCCGGAACTTGGTCAAAAAAATTAAAAACGGCGCATAGGTACTTGCACCCGGCAGTACGAAAAAATAGTCCCCTGGGCTCTTCGGTCGCTTATTACTATGTAATATATTATTATATTACTATTTACAAAAGTAATGAATTTCATGGCGCCATCTTGTGGTTGATGGTTGTACATTTGGTGAGTGCCTTTAATATAATAAAACGCAACCTTGCACACAAGACCTGTTATCACTAATCGTCCGAGAAAATAGTCTCCTAGCTATAGTCCCCCAACTTCACACCCGTCGGCCCTTCAGGGATCCAAAAGCTGATGTACTTGATAAATAATAATAGTCAAATTAGTTTAGTAATCAAATGTATTATATTAAACCAGACAAAATAAGCAGAATAGTAGTGTTGATTGTAGCGAATTGTAGCTCGTTCAAGAATTGATAATCTCCGTGTAAGTTGTGTGTGATGGCTGGGCGGCTAAGCGAGTCGTGTGGTGTTCTCGTCTCTGGATACATCTACTCAGGATGTCTCGCTGTCCCCTATATATATGGTGGCGGCGTCCTTTGAAGTGAGCGGCGCGTGTACAGTCGTCCTTGATATGGACCTCACGACTATGAAAGTGGTATTCTTAGCTGGTTACACACTGAGCGGTTTGTCCGCGCGCGGTCGCGGTTTTTATCCGCGGCGGATAACCGCCTACAATTAAACATGGGTTATTCAATTGGCATATTTATACATGGAAAACCGCGCCGCCGAGCGTCGCGGACAACCGCCTGCGACCGCTCATGTCAATTCCTGAGCGGAAAACCGCGTCTGCCAGCTATAAATAAACAACGGTTTTTCAATAGACATGTTCACACAGGCGATTTGATCGCCGCGATCCGCTGGCGGTTTTTGAAATTTGCCATTAACGAAATTATTTTTGAAGTGAGTAGATTTCATTCAACGTTTTTCTAAACATGTTTGACATTGAAGACTTTATAGCAGTGATACAAGCTAATGAGTGTATCTGGAATAAACGTAAGTACCTATTTTGTATAATTTTACATATTAAACGACTAGAATATATTTTTATTTATTGAATACCATATTTAGTGTTGGAAAAATTCATGAAATTTAAAAAAATTAAATGTTTCATGAAATATTTGAAATGTGTGAAATATTTCAGTATTTTAATACATTTTGTTTTATTATTAAATAAGTTTTATATTTACATATAATTGTCATAAATTACCTTCATAATTGTATGGTACTTATACATAAATTATGTAATACCTAACCTTTGGTATTATACATTTAAAATAGGTAGTATTCAAAATTTATAAATATTTTTATGTTCAAATGATGCAAGTAGGTATACAATATTATACATGTATACTGTATAGGTACCTACTGAATTATTACATTAGAATTTAGAACACTGAACATTGTTTTAAAAAAATAGTGTTTTTATTTGTGTTAAAAAAAATGTCAACGTTTCACGTTTTTGCGAAATATTTCATACCTCAAACACTTACCATATAATATTAATATAATACATAATATGTATTTGAAATGTAGAAGAAAGTAGTCATCACGATCTCCAGGCTCTCCATGTAGGATGGACCAACGTGGCTCGTGCTACAACAGTACATTTCGACGAAATGGACGATAAAAAAAAAACAGAAAAAAGTATGTAATAAATAATTTATTTTTATCAATTATTTGAATACAAAGTAATAATTATTGTAGTAAAATAAAAAAGTATTAATTAACATAAATACTAGGGTAGTAATTATTATTAATTATTAATTATTAATCACAGTATTTTGAATCATTATAATATACTTTATAGATATTACATTTTGTGAACGTTTTAAGTATTATGGACACTACCTATATTATTAAAGTTCAGTCATTTAGTTACCTATACATATAAACAAATTGTTTGACCTTAAAAGTTAAAACAAACAAATTGGTAACCTAACCTAACCAATACACCTTAATAGAAACAAATTATAGACTTTATAATTTTTAAGAAAAGTTTTTCAATTTTAAAACATATCTGATTATATATTATTTGCCAATTATTGTATTTTGCCAGTAAAGTGCATGGTTCGGGTTATTGACGTACTCTACAAAATACTCCCTGACGTCTTTGGCATTTTTTTTTAATGTTTCCTACTCCTCTTCTTTGAACACTCTCCATGCAGGAACTACTCATGGTATCTTCAACACTAAAGCCATCACGGCGACGTACAAAATTGTGTAGCACACAACAAGCTTTTGTTATTATAACTGCAGCATCTGGCTCAACCAAAATATTTGTTTAAAAAACTCGCCATTTTTTAGACATGATGCCAAGGTACATTCGATGTATTGCCTGGCCCTCGATAAACGGTAATTAAAAATTCTCCTTTTGTCGTTTAAGGTTCTACCTGGGAAGGGACGTAATAGGTTCTTGTGAAGAGCAAAAGCTTCATCGGCCACGAGAACAAATGGTTGTGGTGAACCAAGTTCATCGTTCGGTAGACATTGTTCAGGTGGAAAGTTTAATTTATCGCCATAAAGTTTTTTACCAAACGTTGACGTCTTAAACACATTACAATCACTTTCTTTACCAAATGACCCTACATCGATGATTTGGAAGCAATAATTTGAGTCACAAATAGCCATAAGAATCAGTGAAAAAAAGTGTTTATAATTATAGTATAACGAGCCACTACTTTTTGGGCACTCAATCCGTATATGTTTTCCATCTACCTATAAAAAATATAAAGAGCTATTATATAACATCGATATATAGATTATTACTTAGTAAAACTAAAAAGTATATAAAATAACTTACTGCACCAACAGTATTCGGGAACTGCGTCTTTTCAAAGTAACCTTTAGCTATACTAAGCCAGTCATTTGTAGTGGGTTCTGCCATTTCAATTGGTTGTAAAATTGTCCATAAAACTTTGCAAGTTTCTCGGACTATCATGGCTATAGTTGACACACCAGCCAAAAATTCAAAATGCAATGCGGAGAAGTGCTGTCCAGTTGCTAAGTATCTGTTACCAAATTTCAAATCATATGATAGATTATTCCTTATAATATCCTTTTATATTTTATCCAACAAATAAATATATCATTAGAAATAATACTGCAGAATATGGTAAAAATTACAATGATACAGTTATAATATTATAGGGCTGAATGTCGATCTTTTTCGAAGTCAATTTTTTCATTCTGAGTTACAAACAAAAAATTAAGTAAATACGGGGATTTTTACGCAAAATCAGTTTTTGACGAAAAAGATTTAGTTACTAAAACTAATAAATGTCACACAAGGGCGTCCGCAAGAGGGGGGGGGATTAGGGCCAGTGGCCCCCTTGGCTTGTATTTGATCAATTATCGTAATAATTATTATTAAGGCTGGGATTTTAATGCCCTAAAAAAATTCAAAAGATGCAATGAAAATTCCGAATAATACACTAAATTATTTTAATTTTTAATAGATCGATATCAATTCTAAAAAGAAATTCTAAAATTCTAAAATTCTAAAATTCTACAAATTTGGTATAAATGATAATTTACATTTTAGACTATTAAAGTATTGTAAAAAAATTTTTAAGACAGAACAGACAAACTTTTTGATTTCTTTAATCTAAAAAATGTATTATTTCTTTTTTTTAGGTTTAGATCATAAATGTATTTAACCTGTACATAGATATAATTTGTTAAATTTATATAAAAATCATGTAAAAGCATGTACAAATTTTAAAATAAAATTTAAAATTCAAATTTTAGAAAAACTTTAAAATGCCCCAAAAATTCTAAAATTCTAAAATTTAAAATGCAAAATAAAAACTATTCTATTCGTAACAATGCAAAAGTGTATTGAAATTAAAAATTAATACATTTATTTTACATGATGATTTTCAATACCTCGATTATGAATGTTGTTTTATAGATTTATATTATGACGTAGTAGTTATAGTTATATATATATAGTGGTGAGACCAAGTGCAGTAGTTTAGTGACAGCCAAGTTTTTTTTTTTTCACCGGATGTAAAAATTACCATTTTCTATACATCATTAGTTTTATTAAAAATATTTATTAAAATATTTTGACTTGTTTAGAGCAATTTGTAGACATTTTAAATTTTAAATTATTTTTAGTTTTTTTTCTATAAATGCCAATACATTTTTTTTCGTTGGGCCAACAAGTTGAAAATTTAATTTTTAGATTATTTCAATGAACATAATATTATGTTGCATTTAATGTAAATAATTTTTACAAAAAACATGTTTTTTTTCATTAGTAAAGGAGCTTAAATTGAAATGGAAGAACATACGAGATACCTACCGAAAGAAGTGTATAAAAAAATCTGGACAAGCTGCAAAAAATGAAAAACCATATGTTTATTCAAATATTTTACAGTTTTTAAGACCTACGATGGAAAACAGAAGGTAATAAAAAACTTTTACATCATATCATATACAAATAATTAATCGTTTGAAAAAATTCAGAAGTATGATATACAACTATTATTTCAATAGGACTGAAAGTAATGTTCCCGAGAGTGAACCAGAAGAGGATACAGAAGTTGAATCGGAAGTAATGAAAAATGTGGATGATCCTGATGTCAGTGTAGTCGACTCGGAAGTAGAGACACCAAAATCCCAAAAACGAAAGTTATTAAAAAAACCGAAAATGTCTTTTGAAGATAACTTATTAAAGTTGTTGGAAACTAGAAAAGTTGAAGATCCAGTATCTTCTTTTCTTATGTCGTTGGCGCCACAAATCAAATTGTTAAATCAAGAAAAACAAAACCAAATTTTCATTGAATTCTTGCAGGTCATACAAAAAGTTACAAAAAGTCCTAGCCAAAATACACACATTACTCCGGCAATCAATAATGTTAATTCATGGTCCATACAACCTCCTATCTCAACTTTCTATGACCGTTCTTATGACGCATATTCGACCGCAACAAACCATCGTCAACATAACACTGCCTTCATCCTCATCAACTTCATTAGGACTAGGTGCTTACCAATCGCCATCGGCTGCTGCCATGCCTCAGTTATACTATAATCCAAATTCAACTCAAACAGTAACTGCCCCTGTTTCTACATCGACAACACTCTTCACTTATTCAAGCCTGAATACTGACGAATACCATAACAGTAAATAGAATGTAAACTTCTGTATGTTTTTTTTATATTTCAATTGTTTATAAGCTTTTAAACTTTATTTTTTTTTATGACAGCATTAAAGTTGAGTTAACTTTTTTTTTTAGTAAATATTTATTTACCGCAAAGTGATTGTCAGTCGTTCTTCTCTACAAATTGGAATGCGCAAATGTGTCACTTGTTTTGATAGGCATGGTCTAACCAGTGAAATCTTAAAAAATAGAAATTATTACATAATATTTTATCCGATTTATTGTTATCCAAAGGTAAAAATATTAACATATTATAGTATTTTCTGTCTAGTGCCACAACTAAAATTTTGAAGACCAGGTGCAAGCTAATTTTAGGGCCCCTTTATCGTCACTCGTCAGTAGTGTCTAAATTTTGGGTCGGTGATTAATGAGCTAAGATCGATGGTGGGGGGGGGGGTGTTTTCTTATCTTGTTGCAATTCAAAAACGAATAACCGTAGATTCTTGAATTATTTACAACATATATTTATTTTATCATTTTTATACTTGTTAAATTTTCCAAATATTTTAACTCGTTTCAAGTTGTTAACGAGCATTTTCAGTTGTCAATTTTTGAATTTTTGAATTTTTTTATTCCATAAATGTCAATAAAATTGTATTCATTGGGTCAAAATGCTTGAAAATTTAGTTTTAGGCTCCTCAGTTCTCACACATTGTTAAAATATTTATCAAGATTTTTTTTATAGCATTTTTAAATTTTCGAATTTTGACAAAATGGATCATACCTATTATTAAAAATGTACAAATTATTTTTCAGTTAAATATTTATAAAATGTTAAATTTTTATATTAAAAGAATTAAATATTTAAAATAATGATCCACATAAGGAGCTCACACTGTAACCAAAAAAATTCATGTCAAAAAATTATGGCTATAGGCAATATTTATTTTGAAACACTCGAAGTTCAAAATTATTACATTCTTATATTTGTTTTAAAATTATTTGTATGTTATGTATAACAAAATCTGAGGCTCCGGATTCATACATTTTTAAGGCCCATAAGGCGGTGTACCGCCTGCACCTGAGGTAGTTGTGGCACTGGTTCTTTCTTATTTATTATTAATATTTAATCATTATATATTTACTTACTAGCTCATCAAACGATGTTATAGACATCCTGAAATATTAAAAAAATTCTTCAGGGTGAGCTCTCAGTGTCATGAAGTTCACTTGAAACTGACCTTCTTTAATCCTTTTCATATTAATCGGATGTACCCAATATCTCCTTTTGGATTTTTCCTTTTTTGCAGCTTTATTACGTTTTTGTAACAGCTATGGCTTCAACATCGTTTAATAAGTCCATTATAGGTATAGGTGATATTTATGTTAACTCTTAACTTGAAAACTAAAATCAAATACCTACAAAGGTCTTACCTCTACCACGTGTTTGATGCAACTGATAATATAATTTACTTCAACTCGCCCCAATATTCACTTTATTTTATTTTAATTATGGCGCGAAGAAAAACCGCCTGTAGTGTGTATCAAAACGGCGGATTCGGTTTTAAACCGCCGCGGATAAAAACCGCGACCGCGCGCGGACAAACCGCTCAGTGTGTAACCAGCTTTAGTCGAAAACACTTTTGGGTGTGGTCGCATTCCTGGTTGTTTTTATGAGCAAATACATGATATTGCGTAATCCCATTACACCTCCCTACCAAAAAAAGATTGTTAACCTTTAAGGGTTAAGAATCTTTAACATCATTAATTAATAGTTTACAATGGTTTAATTACATTGTTTACATTGATATTTAAATTTTGTATACAGTTAACAATTTGATTACAGTATTACATTTGATTACAATAATGTGAACATTTTACAATTTTTAATGTCATCATTATTATTATTATTGTTTTTTATTATTCATATTACAATTTTAATTGTGGTTAGTAAAATAAATAAATACATGATTTAATTAAACAAATAGTGTTAATAAGAATAGAATGATTAATAATCTTTAATAAAATAATATATGTACCTGAAATTATAACATCATAAGCGTTACGTAAGTATAAAATTTAAGTATTTCCCCTTTTATATAATAATAATATTTATCTTCCACCTATATACTAATCTATGTGAATAATTGTTAGATTTGCCATAGACATATGCAACTATGGTTCTATTTAAGGTAATTCATCATGTAAGTTGGATCTCTAGTGTTTTCTATTATTTTTACTAATTGTTTGCACTCTCCATTACAATGATCATCTATGAAAAGTTCAAGGTATCTGGTTATTTTATTTAAAGTTCTATGATCGTAATGGTTATTTATTTTCTTGTTTGCCTTTAATATATGCCAATTAAAGCATATGGATTGTAATTTATTTTCTTTAACGTTATAAATATGTACTTCTGTTTTTAAAATAGTTTTTAGCTTCTCAATGAATCTAAAATATATAATAAAGGTTAATTTATGTATTTGTTTTCATTATTTAATTTATTTTGTGTTATATTTATTTATTAACTAATGATTATTATTTATTTTGCCTTAAAATTCCTTTTATATTTTTTTGCTAATTTATATAATTTAATGGGCTTTATCTTTGTTACTATGTAATTGAATAGGCATTTCGTTAAAATTACGTCGGCAACCGGATCATGACAATGTGTAATATTATGATTAATATCGCATGCTAGTTCATGAGCTTCTGACAGTCCTAACATTCTACCATTTTTATTTAATTTACCTAAATAGCCTGAATATAATATTTC